ATTAAATTAATCTTTTAAGATAATTAAAAATTTTGTTATAAATATTAAAGATTAGATATATTATAATATTTTTTATTTTTAAAACTATATCTATAAATTAGAAGAAAAATCGAATAATATAAAAAAGATAGTTAATTTAATACTATTGTTTTTAATTAAGTTCTAATATAATTACTTATATTTACTATAAAACTTATTAAATATAAATTAAATTTATTTGACATATTAAAATATAAAAAGATTCGAGTTTTAGTATATTTGAATCTTAGTATATTTGAATATTTTAAATTAGTAGATATTTATAATAATAACTAATTATTTTTTTAATTAAAATTAAAATTATTAAAATATATTTAAATATTAATCTAAATATTATCTTTTTTAAAGCTTCACAGAAATACTAGATTATAAATAAAATATATATAATTATTAAAAATATATTTAATATTAAAGTATCTAGGATTCTATTCAATCTTAGATTAATAATTATATTATAATTATTTAGATTCTCTATCTAATCTATATTATTTAATTTAATCTAAAATAATTTCTTAGATAAATAAAATAAATTTAAAAAAGAAAAATAACTAGAATATAAAAATATAAAATCTAAAATTAATCAATCTATTTAAAATAATAAAAACAAGAGACTACTAATATATTTAATAAAATAAGTTTATAATTCTAAATATAAGAACTATTAATTTATTTAATTATATATAAATACAAAACTTAACTATTTTTATTAATACTAGTTTTTAATATCTAATACTATTTTTTAAATTTTAAATAATTTTATACTAGAATAGAGGTATATAGTAATTAAAGGTAATTAATAATTTATTCTTTTTAGATAATCTCTAGAAGATGATATTCTAGTATTGAATATTATATTTTAAAATCAATATTAAATTATTTTTTGTAGATAAGATTTATAGATATATTAAGATAGAAAAAATAATATAAATTAATTAATAAAAGTTAGAGTATTTAAAGATTTAGAATAGTAGCTAAAAATTAGTAATAAAATAGAATGATTTCATTCTTAAATTTTTAAATAAAACAAGATTATCTAAAGCTAGTATAGTTTTATATTAAAAAGATACTAATAAAAAACTTAATAATACAAGATAATATTATTTTATAGAAAAATTATCTAATATTATATCTATTTTTATTATAGTATCTAATCTTTCTTAAATATTTAATTATTATTATAGTCTTATTTCTATATTATTATAAAGAATTAAGTACTTTTTTATATTATTTATATATAATTTTAGATATTTTATTACTAGTTTTTATTATCTAGTTAAAATATTTTTATATATTAGATTATTATTAAATATCTTAATATATCTATTTTTTTATCTAAAATCTATCTAAAGTTATGAGTTTATAAATTTAATTTTTATTATATTAGAATAAGATATTTCAAAGTTTAGTTAAAATATATACTTTTTAGACAAAAAGAGATAGATTATAAAAAATAGATAAATAAAATATAAATTCATAATTAATTATAACATTTATTAATTAAATAAAAGATTAAAAATAATATTATTAATATTATATAGAAATAATATATATAACTATTAATTATATAAATTAAATACCAAAATTTAAAAATATTATTAATAATTCTAGTAATATTAACTTATATACATATTTAATAGATTAAAATTTATAATAAATAATTATAGATAATACAATAGATTATATATAATTAACTATAGAGATCTATATCAAAAAGAATCGTATAGTAGGTCTAAATAATTTATATTTCTTGCTAGCTTCATTTTACAATAGTTCGATAACCGAGTCTACTATTTCTCTCCCTAAATTTCTTCCTCTTCCTATCTACCATTATCCTATCAAACTATTATTAATTAATATACCTACTACTAATATTACTCAATATATCTTTATTTTATCCTATTTCATATTAGGAAAGATAATTTCCAAGATATCTAATTTATTAAGAATTCCGAGAAGTATAATATATTATACTATATCTTATATAATATAATATAATTTTAATCTTAATACTCCATCTCTAGAATTCTATAATATATTTATTATCAATACTTCTTGTTCTAGTCATCCTAAAAAACAGATAATTAAAACAAGAGAAATTATTCTTATTCAAGTACGCCTTAATCATTATAGACGCAAAAAGAACTTGTGCTAATATTACTAGCAAGTTAAGTTCTAAAGGAAATAAGATCTTTATAATAATAGTTTATCAGATTTTAGAATATATTAGTTTTCGGAAGACAAAACTAACTCGGAAACCTAGATTAATATAAAAAATAAAAAATAAATAGCTAGTCTAGTATTTAATATATCGATATTAGACTATTAAAGATTAAAAAAATATTATTTAGTCGGATAAAACTTTTGTTATTCTACTTTATCGATATAAAAATTATCGAGTTTGGTAATCAAAAATAAACGTTTTCTTTAAAGTATTATTCGAGAACGATAAAAAAGATATTCAAAGTTCATATTTTAGATATCATATATAAGAAAAAAGACTCTTATTATTATTAGACTTCTGAGACTGTTATTAAAAACCATAAAACTAAATTTTTGATCTAAAAAATAGAATTACAAACTAAAGCCAATTTTCAAAGAAAATTAAGAACTCTAAAATAGTTTATGATATTTAAACCTTTATTAACTTTCTAGAAAATAGCTAACTTGGAAATTTAACAAAAAAACAGATAAATTAATCTATAAGAAGTCGAATGATAAGATTAACTAATTTCGATATTATATAAAAATCTTTATCTCGAAATTTCTACTTTTTGCTCAAGAATATATAGTTAAACATCTTGAAATAATAGTTGAAGAAGATAAAACTCCTTCTTATATCTATTATTTATTAATAACAAGTTTTCGATATTATAGATATTTAATGTCTTCTTTAGTTTGGAAATTCTCCTAATTTATATATAATTGAACCTTGTTAGTTATAGGAAAAAAATATACTATTAAGCTTTGATACACCAAAATTATGTTCGGAGGTAATTAAAGTAGAAGAACAAGTTTGGAAAGATTTGTTATAAGAAAATATCTAGATTTAGATTAAATGTTTGCCAAGGTATATTAAAAAGATTATTAGACTAGAAAGGGGAGATAAATATTTAAAAAACCAATATAAGAAAAATAACTACTAGTCTATATTAGGGTTACTTTTAATAGGAGATATATAGTTTTTCTAATATAGACTTCTATACTAAGATTATATATTTATATCTAAATAAAAAATAAATATATCTTTCTAATAGTATAATTATATTTTTTTTATATATTCTTATATTAATAAATTTAATTAATTATTCAATAGCTCAAGTTATATATATATTGTTACACGCTACCTAGCGAGTCTCGTTGAGTGGGTCCTTAAAGGTTATACTTCTCTTGGTCACTCTGTACACCAAGGATGTCTTGTCACTCTGTTGCAATGCCTACCGATCACACACAGCAACAGGCCTTAGATACTCAAATCCTTAGAGGTCTTGCTTAGTAAACGTGGAACTACTGAGAGCGCTGATAAGGTCAGGTTCTTATAGATCTCTCCTACGTTATTAAGGTTTATCTCGAATAAATAAATAATGAACTGTATTATATTCTAATCTAAGGTTCTTAAGTAATAGCTTGTAAAATAAGAAGAATTGATTATAAAGAACTAAATATATAATATCAAATAAGTATCCTTATATATCCAATCCTTCTTATTACCGATATATCTAGGATATATTACTAATATATAATATTTATCGCCGATAAACTATTACTATCTTATTATCTTAATAGCTATCTCTAACTTCTACTAACTATTATATTAAGTAGTATAATATTCTTTATACTAGTTAGTTAGCTGTTATATCTAGTCTTCTTGTTATATATATATCAACCTCGACAGATTAGTTAGCTATAGTTAACTTATCTCTTTTAACTAAAATAAGTCTGTAATGTTATCTCTCTCTTTTAAGATCTTTATTTTTAAAGACTTAAATAGTATCTTTTTTTTTTAATAAGTTTCTATCTTTTATATTTTCTGTTACTTTCTACTATTATAATATATCAATCTTCTATTTATAAGAATAATCTAATAACAAGAATCAAGAAAAAAGATTTTAAGGCTATGATTTTCTATAAATATTGTATCTATCTAAAATAAATATATTTCTATATTAAATATTCTAATAAATATCTTAGTTATATTATTAATAGTAATTAGATTAAATATATAATATTAAAGCTAATATATTTTAATACTAAATAATATAAACTAGTTAAAATATAGTAAGAAGTTATTATTTAATAAAAGAAAATATTAGCTTAAGTTATATATAGACTGCGGCATATCCGCTCCAATGGATATGAAACCCATATCCATATCCGCAAGCTGCGGATCTTGGATATGAGTTCATATCCATATCCTCAATGCGGATATCCTTGGATATCCGCGCGGATATGCGGATATCCTCAAATTATCCGCACTAGCATAACTCTCACTTACCTTCCCGAATATAGGCTGTCACCTGATCCTAATGTAGCTTACCAATCTTTCTCCCCGCCTGAAAGAAAACCATGTTTGGTCATAACAGAACCAACATCTTTAATTCACATTCTATGGTGTGAAATATTAGGAAATGAATATATATCTGAGATCTGATTGTGTAATGATTAAATGTGAGACTATAGACGTAAGAGAATTTGATCCTAATCTTGAGTATGGCTGTAAAATAAGGATTTTGTAGTAACTTACTTTAGAAATATATATTTGACTACTATTAATCTTCTCTAATTTTATAATAAATAGAGTAAATAAAGAAAAAATATATATTTCTTAATAAAATATCCCGATTCTAGATTCAAAACAATGCTATCTCTTCCAGCTCTTGATATATTAGAGTTTGAAGGTATTCCGACCGTGAAAGTAAAAGAAATCATGGATAGAAGTTCTCAAGATGCGGACTTTGCAATTTTTAAAAGGGGTGTGGATATTCTGCGGATATCCGCATGACGATGTTGTTACATAAAAAATACTGGAGAAAACATAAAAATAATGCATATCTCTCGAGGTCACGGGTCTTGGCACATTTGTTGTGTTTGATATCCATTGGATATCCGCAAATATCCAACGGATATGAGGCCCATATCCAAATCCACAAGGCTGCGGATTGCGGATATGAAATCATATCCAAATCCGCAGTTTGCGGATATGGATTGCGGATATCCTTGGACATTGCGGATCGTGCCGCAGTCTAGTTATATATCTTAAGTAATAAAAGATATTATTATAAAAGTATATTAGTAATTTTATTATTTATAAATTTAAAAAGATCTTTAAGTTAAAAGATCTAGAATATCATAAAATTAAAAAGTTTATTTATATTAAGAAAGAGTATATTAATATAGAAAAATAAAATTATAGTATAAAGAGTATTTATACTACTAACAAAATCTTTTAATCTATATCTTCTAATCTATATCAGATCTTTATAGTTATATTAGAAAGTCTTATTCTAATATAGATATTTATATTTATTAATCTATCAAGTCCTATAAGTTAAGATAATATTAATTTTAATATTTTTATTATTATTATTAACAAGATATCTTTTTTATTATATAATAATATTATTAAACTAGCTAGTAATAATTTTTTAGATTTATAATAGATTTCTAAGAATCTTATAAGATATCTTTTTTAATAAACTAGAAAATATTTGTCAAGGAACAATGGGACTCGATGGTGAAACGCCATCGAATCAACATTGGATGTGCCTTTGAAGATATATTGGGACCCTTTGGGCCCAAGTTGCACCTTTCAAGGCCGGGGAAGCGGGGCCCCGGGACTCTCTTGCATCCTATTGGTTAGATTAGGGCTGAAACCTGAGCTGGGGCCGAACCCCTGGCGAACCTCCTTATAAAAGGGCTGTCCTTTCAGATAAAAAGAGTAAGCTTTAGTCTTTGTTCAGACCGGAACCCTATAGTGGGATCCCATCGAATATCATTGTCTCGCCTGGTCAACTGGTGCCACCTAAATCTGGCAGTTCTCTTACAATTCTAAAGCTTCTCCCCGACCACCCGAGAATCGGTATCGATGGAGCGCCTACGCACGCGCCAAACCGCTCGTGATAGCGTACCCCCTAGCACTAGGGCGGACGAATCGACGACCGAGCCTACCCCGTCGATCGTGCCTGTTCTAGAGGAGCCCACGGCCCAGGAAATCGAGGAGCTTCGCTGTCGAGTAGAAACGAAACAGAGCTACATCGACCTCTAATAGCAGCTCGAGAGGTTTAACACCGAAGCGGCTACGTTGGTATAGGATATATCCTCTATCGCTACGAATGTACCGGTGGATCAATACTGACCGCCGAAATCGTCTTCTATTAAAAGAGACTATCTCCGGATCTTCTATCTCGACTTCTCTGTCTAGGCTCGCAAGGAATAGCTCTAGGATCTATACTTCTATTTCCGATCGAATTAGAAGTACTACAATACCGAACAGAAGTGTATTTCTTTTGTAGTTATAAAGATATATAGCCTATGCCGTTAACGTTGGTTTAACTATCTAGATATACAAGATAATAAAGGAGACAAACTTATAGCTAACTTCTCTTTCTTTGCTGACTGGACCCTGACCCTTTTTACGAATACAGCGACTGTAATTCTAGATAATTTCCAAAAAATGGCGAGGTGTTGATAGAAGGAGGATGAGAGCCTAAATATCTTTCATTCAAGATTGAGTATCCTGGAAAAACTCCTTTTTGAGAAGCTCTCCGACCAAATAAGTACCCTCCTATTTTATACCTATCTAGTCTCTGCTCTACAAAGACGGATCGAGGAGCAGATAGAGGTCGCGAAAACTCGCGACGAAGCGGTAGTAATTGCCCAGCAAGTATAGTCGGTATCCCAGCCTTTAGGATAAGCGAAACGCTAAAATAGTTCGAACGACCCTTAATACCTTTCTAAACAGGACCGGAATGATATGAATACAAACACAAACACGAATATACACCAATCCTTACAGGGAAGGCCTCCCTCTCATTCCTACTAGTGGGAAAAGGCAAATTAATCTGGATCTTCTAGCAATTTGTTACCGATTTATCCTTGATCGATATAGGCTATCTGCTATAAGTATAACTAGCCGGACTATATTGTTATATATTGTCCTATCTAATCAAGAAAAAGGATCTTTGCTTAAGTATAAGAGCTAATCGACGAAATAGATATGAAAAATAAGAAAGGGCTATAAATTTGGCGACGTCTCTAGCTCCCTGGCCTTACATACAAATAAAGTTGCGATTCTATATCCCTGCTATTATATCAGATTCGATCTAGACCAAAATCGATCTAGATATAGGCGCTGAGTACAACCTTGTTAGTATCGAATTTGTTTATAAATATAACCTCCGCCCGGCCAAGGTCTTCACTTTTCTCCTTGGCGCGGTGGACGAATTAAGATACCCTATCTACAGATACTATATAGTCCTTATTATACTGACCGATTTTAGGGGAACTATCCACTGATTTAAGCAGGTTTATATAGTGGTAGAGCGAGTCTCTCTCTAGGGAGCAGCCCTATACTTCTATCCATAACCTTTTTCGCTAACATCGGCGTATATCTCTATATCTATAATTCTATCTCCTTCTGGTTTGAGGTTAATTCGAGGATAGTCTAACTTATATCAGCACACTAGTTCGAGAAAGAAGTCCGGAACTACGTATATGTCTACACTGTGGTCCGACTTCCAGAGGAAGTCTACCAGCCCGAACACGTATAAATCCAGAGTGTAATATCTAGCCCAACCTCGGATCCACCAATCTTACCCCCCGAATTGGATCTATTTCGGGATGTGTTTGAGCCTGGGAAGTCACAGAGCCTTCTCTTGTATAGGCTAACAGACCACTGTATTAAGGTATTACCAAGAGAATAGTCTCTATTCGGGCCTATCTACCCGCTCTCACAGAAGGAATTAGATATCTTCTGTGAGTATATCAACGAAAATATCAAATTGGGGCGAATCCGTCTATCTTAAAGCCCTGCCGGGGCTCTAATCTTCTTTGTATCTAAAAAGGATAGGAGTTTATAGCTTTATATAGATTATAGGAGACTTAATTGCGTTTCAGTTCAGAATCGCTACCCCTTACCCTTGATTGTGGAAATATTAGACTGTCTACAAGAAGCCTAATAATTCTCAAAGATAGATATCCAGGATGTTTATCACCAGATCTATATCACATCTAGGAATAAGTAGAAAACTGTATTCCGAACATAATATAGATATTTCGAATATATAGTTATACTATTCAGCCTAACAAATACGCCGGCAACATTCCAAAACTATATCTATATTGCTTTAAGGAGGCTTATAGACTATATCTATATTATTTACCTCGACGATATCTTGATTTTCTCAAAGACTCGCTTAGAACACACCCACTACATCTATCAAGTACTCTAACGAATACAGGAATTCGAACTTTACGCTAAGCCTTCTAAATACGTTTTCTATTAATTCAAGATTGAATTTCTAGATTTTATTATAAGACAAGACGGTGTATAGATGGATCTTGAGCGAATCGAAGTTATCACGAAATAGGAAATCTTTATCTCCTATCACAAAGTCTAGATTTTCTTAGGGTTTTGCAACTTCTATAGAAGATTTATCTAGAACTACTTCTTAATCGCAATACTATTGATAGTGATATTTAAAAGAAATAAGGACAGAAAGAAACCAGGCTCGGTTATCCTTAACAAGAAACAACTAGCTGCCTTTTACCAGCTTTTAGATATATTCAAAAAAGCGCTGTTTTTCTACCACTTCGACCCCCAGCAACTAATCCGATTAGAAACCAATACCTCGAACTATAGTATAGAAGATATCCTATCCTAACCGAATCGGGAGGGGATCTATTACTCTATTATCTTCTGGTTAAAGAAATTCTCTAAAGCAAAACTTAATTACTCTACGCCTGACTAGGAGTTCTATATAATTATTTACTCGTTTAAGTATTAACATCATTATTTAGAGAAAAGTAATCACTCTATTAAAGTTCTTACTAATTATTCGAATATCTAGGTCTTTATGAAACAACCGTACCCGAATAGATACCAATCTAGATAGGTAATAGTATTATTGTCCTTCGACTTTGTTATGAAATATTGAATAGATAAAACTAACCTTGCTAATAGGCTATCGAGATAGTTAAATAAGAATGAAGCCTTTAGAGATATATTTACTAGTCTTTAAGAGTGGTTAGAGGCTATATTATCACTAAATTGTAATAATATAGTTACTGAACTTATATCATAGACAGTCGTAGAATATGGGGTTTCCTATTCTACCAATTCTATATTATAAATAGTTATAGTATATAAGGTTTCTTGGCCTGCCATATCTTCTACCACTATAATCTAGGCAGTAAAGTCGAAATTTATAGACAAATCTCTAGTAAATCTAGACTAAATCGAACTAGATCTAGATAAGTTAGATATACTAAGGTAGGAAGAGGAATACTACTAGTATCTAGAATTGGCTAATTAGGTTGTATTAAATAAAATAGGTTGTATCTATATAATTCCTTCGAACTTGGTCTAGCTGATTACTACTAAGAAAGTCCTATATTGAGAGAGGATTGGTAATAATCTTTTGAAAGAAATCGCAAGTTTATAGAGAAAAGATGGTCTAGTATACCAAAAGATAGAATATCTCTGGAAAGAAGATCTCTCTAATATATAGAGATTGAATAACAAACTACTAATATATTAGAGACAATTTTATATCCCTCCAATCATGAATCTGAGGCAGGAACTCTTGAAAATCTATTATGACGACCTTTTTATAGACTATTTTAGTAAAAATCGCATATATAAGCTCCTTAAATATAAATATCACTAACCTAATATATTTTGAGACGTTATCGAATATATAAAGAGCTATCTTATCTGTTAGGGGATCGTTATTCCATGATATCTGTTATATAGAGAACTTAATTTGTTTTCTATCTCTAGTAGGCCTTTTTAGGAAATTTTAATAGACTTTATTACTGGATTATCTCCTGTTATCTATCAAAAGGAGTAGGTCGATATAATATTGGTTATTATTGACTGATTTACTAAATATTATCTCTTCTTTCTAGTCGTATTAAAGATAATTATCTCCGACTTAACGGAACTGTTCTATTACAAAGTCGAGCTTATTTATAGGTTAATTGAGGGTATAGTCTCCGATTAGGG